TCAAAGTCTCGCACATTCACCAAAAAAAAAAAAAAAAACTATTTTTGTTTATATGGCTAGTAGAGGATTTGTGCTCATTGTAAATTGTGGGAATCATTTTTCCTATTAAAAATTTTGATTTTAGGGAGTGTTAAATTTAAAAGTCATATTAAATGTTCTGAAAAACAACCATCAGAGGAGTTAGAAGCCGTCGAGTGCTTTATTCCAAAGGCGCGCGGGTGAAAATCTCAAAGGTCTGCATGGGGACGCTTTGGCAATGTGTTTGTGTATGAGCTGCCAGTGGCAGCAACGCTGAAGCATCTTCTCTCGAGCTGTCAGTGGCCATGCATGTTACTCACAGCTTGTCTTTGCGGGTTCACAGCTGTGGAGAGGCCCATATTGCATCTAGAGCAAAATGAAGAAGCATGGAAACACAACATTGCCATTGAAATGAGCAATGTGCTCTAAGAAAACTCAAGAACATGATATGTGAAGTGAGTTTCAGTTCTGATAGCAATGAAAAAAGATTAAACCGTTCTTGAGACTTGTTAGGCTAATTATGGAACTTAAATTGGATCTGTACAGGGTTGAATAAGCATGCATGTATCTGAGAGCATTTGTAGTCAAACAGTGCCCTCTTTTTGTTTGAAGAAACAACATGTGAACAACAGGATAACCGGATTATTGATCACAAACATCTGCTGCCCTCTGCTGTCAGGGTCTAATGCACTTTACTCTGCAAATGACTACTGTTGTGCAAAAAGTTTTTTTTGATTTGTGAAATAGCAAAAATGTTGTATTGTATTACTACAAAGACAAAGTCTACTATTATTAATATGGGACTACTATTTCCCATATTTAGACTAGATTAAAGTAATAGTATTAGTTCACCCAAAATTGAACATTCATAATTTACTCATCCTCATGTCGTTTCAGAGCTGAATGGATTTCTTGTCTCTGCAAAACACAAAATATGTTTTGAAGAGCACTGGAGTCCAAGCAACATTGGACCCTATTGACACTGAGGGGGACAATAATTAGAAATGGCCAAATTGTCCCTCAAATATTTGACAATAAGTTTTAAAATGCACACTTTTAGGCTGGTCTTCCTCGGCAGTGATCGTGAATGTCAAAATGATTGAGATGACCAATCAAATCAAAGAAGGCGGGCTTCAGTGGGGAGAATCTGTTTTTAACGGTGAAAAAGTGTTAGGTAAAATGTAAATACCAAAACAAGTTGACAACTTTTACGAGGGATGCATACTACTTACCTTTTATTTATTTGTTTTTTGTCAAATGTCATTGTTTTGAATTGAAAATATAGACTGCCATTTACGTGAGTGATATAATTCATAATTAACAAGACAATAAGTCTTTTTCCTTTTTGATTTTCATAATAGATTAATCGTATGAGTAATAGTCATTATAAGTATGGAATAACTCATGGAAGTATAGGAATTATGTAGTGACAAAAATAAATTTGTGCATCTTTTTGTCTACATTATTTGACTGATTTCCATGATAGCACTATAGGTGTTCTGTATAGATGTATTTATCTGCTATATTTTATACATTTCCATGCATCTTAACATTAAATATAAATGTCTGCATAACATACAGCATCCACCAGGAGGACTTGATTAAGATGAATATACATTTTTCAACATATACTACCAGATGTGCCCACTAGATGTAGGCAGAGTTCAACAATTGTGATGTTTAATTACAGCACCGTTAAATTATTAACAGCCTACACAGGCGATACCAACATATAGCCTTGTCATATTTCTTGTTATATGTACAATATTTTCATAACTTCTTTAATTTCTGCCTTCATAAATAAGAAGTTTACATTACTATCGTTTTGTGAGGGACAGTAATTCTAGAATGAAGTGCTGACAGTCGCAGAGATTTTAAATTCCATGTGGCTAGTCAGAAAAAAAAGTAGTAATCATAACAACAATGCTAATAATAATAATAATAACAATAATCGAATACTCATATTTTCCCTTTAATAACCATTATTCACATTTTTCTTCGCGGGATTAATAAAGTACTTTAATGATCTGATTTATTTATTTTAGTCATTTACCAGACGCTTTGTTCCAAAAGTGATATCTGATAAGATCATAATTATTTCGTTTCATCATTATTATTATTATTATAAATCGTATTCACAATTTCCCTTTTGTCATCATTAAAGTATATTTATATAGTGCGAGCTATGCATGATATATGTAGAAATTTGTTCTATAATGCGAGACTTCAACGCACACTATTCTCTCAGAATGAGCGACACACCCCGGCAAGCGAGCACTTTCTGAACGCCTGACCGACTTGTGCCGTCGACCAAACTTGACAGTTCCTTCCTGTTATCCGCCTCCAGAACGTTTTCTTCACAGTTCCCGCCTCCCCTCTCCTGCTCGAGCCCTCGCTCCCTGTCAATCATCCGTTTGGAATCACGCTAGTGTGCGCACGCAGCTCCGCTGATGTAGGAGGAGACGCTGCTGTCATCTGCAAAAAAAATGGCATAATCCATTTTTAAAGGCAACGGGCTTTTTTCCCCTTCCAGGAATTTAAATCTTTCTTCAAGTGTTGTGGCTGAGCGCTCCTGTGACACAAAACGACACGAAAGGGAATGTTTTTGACATTATTCAATTACTCGCTGTGAAGCAGTGACGCTTCATTCACCACCTTTTCTGAGGAGGAATCTCTTTTTCCTCCATTTGAAGGGGTGGATAAGGCTGGAGAGGGGGGACATAGGGAAAGTGGCTGTCGCGACTGTGCGATCTGTCCCGTTTTCACCGGGACCCGTGTTGGTGGTGAGCCGCCGCGGAGCCGTTGTGGGAGTGTCGCACGCACGCACGCGAGGATAGTTTCCCCTGGATTTTTCAATCATTTGCGAGATAAGGCTCCCGGACCTCCTCCTCCTCCTCGTCGTCGTCGACGCTGCCCTCCCTTCCTCATCCTCCCGGTTTTTTCTTCTTCTCTTACCTCCGTGATTTTGCCGCGGTCCGCACGCGGGGTAGAGGCTCGCGCTCACCGCGAGAGGACTGAACGCAGCGCGCGAGGCCCCCGACCCCCTCCCCCACTCTCAACCCCCCTTCAGATCATCTCCTCACCTCCTTTCTCATTTTTTCCCGTCTTCTTCTTAATATTTTTCCTCAGAGGAGGAGGATTGGGGGGTTATTACATTTTTACCGCTGCCTGAGCGAAGAGGCCAAGGAGTCGAAACGAATCAACGCCGAAATCGATAAGCAGCTGCGTCGAGACAAACGCGACGCGAGACGGGAGTTGAAGCTGCTCCTGCTCGGTACGAGTTAAACTCACTCATACACACATATATACAGTCAGTCGACAGGTTTCGCTGTGGTTTTCAGCGGTGACTTGTGGTGCTTTTATCGTGGTGGCGGTTTTGTAGCGTAGATTTGAGGCGGTTGCGGTTAATGTTTTTTTTTTTAATCCAAGTGAATAGTTTAAAGGCTATCGGCGTTAGCGAATAGTGCTAAGGCCTTAGCGCGTTAGCATATGCGGGCCGAATGCTGGGCAGGGCCTGGCATGCAACAGCACACAAATCTCAGCATGCTCTCTGTTGTGTGCATATGCACGTACATGTTAGTGTACATCAGAGGCGAAATGGTTGTACACTGGCTGGTTTGTTTTTGTAGCTGTCAGTTTTGTGTTATGAGTCAACCCAAGTGGTCTGTTGTATGATATTGCATGTTGCATGCAGCTAGAGAGGAATATGTGCAAATGTGCAATCGAGGATGACTGTACTGTATGGCAGAGTTGCTTTGCACAGTGTCAGTAAGTGCAAATTAAACGAGAATGTTTTGTGGTTTGTGCAGCTGCATGAATCCTGTCGGATTACAGTATTCAAATCTTAGGGAAATCAGGCTGAGGTTTGTGAGCATGTCAGCTGAGCATTTATTGCTTTAGTGATGGACGTAAATGCTTTTTAGTAGGTGCAGATGATGTTTTTTTCCCCTTGATAATCTTCAAGTTAATGAGAAAAAAAATCAATTAGTATGTAAGTATCAGCCTTGAGTGCAAAACATCAATCACCGTGTGCATCTTGGGAGCATTACCACGTCAGTCTGTGCCACCTGTCAAATTTGGGTCGTGTTGCACTTTTAGCATTTATTCCTGGGTTGAATTATCTCAAAATGGTGGACAGTTATTGCCTTATGAGGGCGTGAGTGCTCTGCACACTGGACTCTGGTTGCTCCCAAGGAAGGAGAATTGGATGCTTTATCAAGCCGTGAAGTTTGGTTGCTGTTCTGTCTATGACTCAGTGAGTTGGTAAGCAGTGATATCTGACACGGACAGCCTTCATTCATTTCCTATTAGTCAGGACTGTTTTTCCGCTTGAAAACCACAAAATGAGCTGCCCGTATTAAAATGGATCATACAGTAGGATGAAACAGTGAGCTGATAGGGAGAGATGGACAGAAGTGTGAGTTTTGGTGAAATCTTGTGGAAAAGAAGTCCAATTGACCCTCGCTAAACTCTGCCCACCTTAGATACGGTTGCCAACTCGGAGAAGCTTTATAGAACATCCCATTGGAATGAACTTGAGATTTCCATGAACAATATGATTTATTTTTAGTAAAATATGTTTTCTCTGAAATTAAAGGTCTACAGGATTCCCGACGAGGCTGCATGTGTTTGACGTAGATACATTTAACCGGGGGGAATGGGGAGTGTAAGGAAGGGTCAGTTGTCTTGAAATTTTGATTTTTGTTATTTTGAATCTGTTAATTGAAACATTGGTGAACCTGTATGCAGGATTATTTGACCTTTTATTTGAAGTTGTCACCACCACGCAAGCTTGTCAATAATCGTTCTTGAACTCTGGATAGGAACAGGAGCAGTTCTGTAACAGTGAATGATTCTGAGGACACAGTGGCTCCTATGTGGCTCTGTGACCTCTGTGAAAATACATGAGATTGACCTTTACCGCTATGAGAGAATTAATAAGTAAAAGTTCTCTCCCATATGCTATCCCTGTGCCACCAAATGAAGTATAAAAAAGCAGCTTGTTGGTGCTCAGTCATCCTATTAATGGCCCATCCTAAATAAGTTAAAACTGTCAGCCTAACTCTGGATAAGTCTTGGCTAGTCTGGATTAGCCAAGACCTTAATAGGCTTTGCGAACACATATTTGCTTCATTGCTGATTCCATAGCTGCTTTATGTTAACCAGCGTCTCACTCTGTAAAAACAGCTTAGTCTAGATAGTTAAGCTTTGAAAAATTGTGGTTATTAGTAGGGCTGGGTGATATTTCAGATATTCACAATGTATATGCAACGATTTTCGGCCAAATTTGTGCTATCTTGTTTTGCGGCTTGACTGTACGAGAGCATTGTCGTATTTTACTGTATTATTATGTCATGCATTTAATTGGCCACAGTGGCACTTTGGTCAAAATTATGGATTATCTGATTGGAGAAAAAAAAATTAAAACAACAAAGTGATATTGGCAAAAGTCTGAGATAATTTTTGTTGTTGTTGTTGCTATATGGACCAGTTCTAATTATTTCATATTTGGCATAATATATGAAATTTAGCTGTGCTTTTGAAAGTTTGATAACACAAAAATGTCTTACATGTATGCATTTGTCAGATGCTTTTATCCAAAACTACACAGATTGCATGTAGGATTTGTGCTTTCCCTGGTGCTCAAACCCCTTGATCTTGGCGTTGACAGCGCTATGATCTACCTGTAGTCAAACAGTAGAGCATGGTGCTAGCAACACCAAGATCATGGGTTTGATTCCCAGGAACTGATGCATGAACTGATAAAATGCAATGTAAGTTGCTTGTATGAGTGTTTGAGCATTTTCTGATATTCTTTTACAAACTTTTTGAAGTAATTTTTATCATCTAGAGCTTTTTTATTTTAGTCCAGACTCCAGAAAATAATCCTACTTGTGCCTTTCAGGGCAGGGCTGTTCTGTATCTGATTCAAGCTTGCATCTCCAATGCCCGTTTCATTAGGATCATCTCTTTGTGGTTTTACGGTTTGCTTGGGATACAGGTAATGCAGATTCACTGTTGAATTCAGTGAAATGTAGAATTTGTCCTATTTTTGAATGACTTTCATTGAACACTTTCACGCTGAAACATGCTGGGACAGTGGCTACGTTTACATGCAACCAAATAATCCGTTCGTAATCGGATTGATGGCTCAATCGGACTGAAAAGCCTTCATGTAAACACCTTAATCGATCCGATTGAGCTCGATCTGAATGAAATTTCGACCGGATTGAAGGGGATGGTTTATTCCTTTTCTAATACGATTGAGAGTGCATGTAAACACTCGGATCGGATTGAACCCCGAAACTGAAAAACACCTTAATCTCGATCGGAATGAAATTTCGATCGGATTGAAGGGGATGGTTTATTCCTTTTCTAATACGATTGAGAGTGCATGTAAACACTCGGATCGGATTGAACCCCGAAACTGAAAAGACTGCGCATGTGCAATGATGCAGAAATAGCGTAGTGATGTATCTTCCTTTTGAATAAAGTGTTGTATAAATGCGTGTCCTGTCATTACAAAACTCTCCTTTCACTTGACAACTGTGAAGTGGAGCAGGACAACCTCCCACCAGTCCTTGTTTTGGATTCTCATGCATATTTATCCATAAATGGATAAATATTAATTCTGCTGTTAAAAACAAATAAAGAAACCGTGTAGGAGAGTGGTTATTATGTGCAAACAGTGAGAAACTCTATATTTGTGCAGTGTGCGCATGTAAAAAAAAATCGATTCCGATTTGAAGCTTGTGACATATAAACGCGCATTTCAACCCGATCACTTTATTTAGCGTTCATGTAAACACTACATTCAGATTCATCAATCGGAATGAATTCAGTCCGATTGAACCAAAAATTGTGCATGTAAACGTAGCCAGTGTTCTATTTTCAATGGGCTGCAAAATGGAAAGCAAGTGTACTGGATGCATTGATTTAAATTAACAGGACAAACATTTTAATTGCTGATTTTCTCTTCTGAGGTCACTGGCTTAACGATAATTGTTTAAATGTTATTGCAAAAAAAAAAGTGCATTATTTTAAAGTTAAGTTTATGATTTTCCTGCTGTCTGCGCTCAGCGCTCTAGTAATGTGCTGTGTATTGTTTGAAAGCTCAGAGTTTTTATGTAGCTGTGACCTTTTGAACTGAAATCTGGATATGTTTTGTCATTCACAATGTGAGATATTAAATCATTTCAGTTGCACAGAGAAACATATTTTCTGTATGACCTCTGAAATCAAAGTAGTGTTGTGTTTTTAGCCTTTAACCAACCTTAACAGTAGTATAGGAGATTAAGCCGCCTTTTGGAGATGTAACTGACTATAAAGGTTTGTTAGCCCTGCAAAAAATTTAGGAAGCAGGCTATGATATGTTTTTAATAATTAGAAATTGGAAGTGTTCAAATATGCTGGTCTACTTCCCTGCAATCCATGCATCCTTAAAGTTTGTATTTAGTGAAGGCTATAGAGGTTAGTCTGTGTCGTTTAGCTTCTCGGATCTTCTCAGAAGTCTTTGGTTCTACACATTCAAAAGTTTGGTAGCAACAAAACACCTATGCATATGCACACCTTGGTAGTGTGTGTAGCCATTTCATTTAAGCATGATTGCTCATTTAAGAAATTCCCAGAGATTCCTAATTATGTAATCAAGAAGCATTCAAAAATATGCTGCATCTTGCTGTCATCTTACGGGATCCAAGTATGACATCTTCACCAAGTTGTAATCTCATGCATGCTCTAAATTATGGAGATGTTCTCCTGATGATATAATCATACTATTAATGCTAACAGTGTGTTTTGTGAACCACGTTTTATGAGATGCTTTCACCCATGCAACTTTAACATAAATTGACAAGAATTTTCTAATGGATTTAATGGACTGTTCATTATTGTATATATTGCTATCGTATGGACATAAGATGTTTGGCCCAGTTCAAATTTCGTTCAGAAGTCATTCACGAACTCGTTGTTCTAGTCATTGTATTTTAACTCATCCTAATCTGCTTCTTCACCCATTTGACCCCCGCTCGGTAAAGAGTTCGTTTTATCCAGCTTCTCGATGGCTTAGTTTGACAGGGCCATGACTTCCTGCCAGTGCCATTCATTTTGTCTCTCGCTTCACTGAGCTGCCTGCTCCACCCTTTCCCGCTGTCCATGCGGTCTGTGTTGCCCCTGGTCTGCCTTGAAGCCCTTATCAGGCAATGGAAGGGCTGGGTGCACTGGGGTTTGTCACTCTGTACTTGGTCAAAACAGATTTAAGCTAGAATTTGTCCT